TAATTTTTTACGTAATTTTCTTGTAATTATGACCATGATTTTAGGGATTTTTTTATTGTTTCCCTTCATTCTTCCTTTTGGTTTATTCTTTTTTTTTTTTTTTCTTTTTTATTCTTTCCCTTCATTCTTCTTTTGGTTTATTCTTGACATTGGTGGTGACGGCTCGACATGGCTTCATGTTTATTCTCTTTGTTTGTTTGTTTTGTTTTGTTTTTGTTTTTGTTTTTTTTGAGATTCATTATACTTTGATTAGGTTTGTTGATGAATCTGACTTTTAGGAGGAAATACATCATTGACTGTTGAGTTGTACATTGATGTGTTAGGTGTGGTGCAATGTAGGACTGTGGGTTGTGTAATTATTGGAGGGCGTCAGATAAAAGGTGGGAAACTAAAGTTAGAAGTTTAAAAGTGGAAATTAAAATAAAAGGCAGCTGCAAATTAAAGTATTTTGAATTACTGGTTATTCCTTCATTTCCTAGCCACTTATTTGCATCTATCACAAGATCACATAACATGATACTGCAGATAGGGCAGCACTACTAGTCTACTACATTACAAAATTAGAGCTAGCGAGCTGAGTGATCTGAGGTCATAATGAAGCATGAAAAGAACGGGCCGGCCGCCGGCCGGGAGCTAGCTAGAGCGAGCCTTAGAAGCTAAGGTACTTAGTGGCCGCCGGGAGGAGATAAGAAGAAGAGGGTGCAAAGCTGAGTAGGTGTTTAGAATTTTGAAGCCAGGGCTTGACCACCACTTGTGCATCAAAAGTGTGTGGAACCCCCGTGGAGACGGCGACGGCGGAGATCTTCAGATAGTACTTTATCCCGGCCACCACCTGCCTCTCCGCCGCCAACACCTCCGAGAACCTCAGCCCACCATCGCCGCCGTTGCCGTTGATATTGATGTTGTACTCGTCCACGCAATATCTCCCCAATTCTTGAACCTCCTGGTTTCCCTTCACCCCCTCAATCTCTGTTCTCCCCCCTACTACTACTCCCCTTCCCTCCACTTGCGTACTGCACACCATAGCCGCCGCCATCACTACCGCCCATAAGTAAATCACTCTCGTTTTCGCCGCCATATATGCTGCTGATGATGGCCGGGTTTTAATTTCCAATTAGTTGCATGCAATGATGGATTAATTTAAGTGGCTTACAAGGAGCGGTGGGGAGCTGATATATATACATACAGAAACAGAAAGTAGCTAGCTAGCTAGCATGATTCATCTGAATAGAATAATATAATATAATATAATATGATATGATATAATGGGTGGGTCTGACACATTCATGCATGCATGGTTGGTGAAGATGTGATGAAAGGACACGTATTAGTATAATATCGCGACGCGACGCGAGGCAGCAGCCACGGACTGCCGCGTCTTCTTAAATCTCATCCCTTGGTTGCACATCCAAATCAAACACTTACGAGTTACGACGACAAACTCCCATCCCCACTCACCTATAGCTCATCAGTTGGCTGGCTAGCTGTTTTTCAAAATATTCAATTCCTTCCCAGTATAATCCATTCATTTTTACTCATTTCTATTTTTTTTTTTTACATTAAATTTCACCATTTAAGTTAGACTAACTAATTCTAAGTCATCAGCTTAAGGGAGCTAAAAGAAATAAATTAAATTGCAAGTTGTTCAATTAGTCCTTAACTATTTTTCACCTCGTCTTATGTTACATCATAATACAAATTCGGTCCAGATATCAGATATTAAAATCTCACATATATTAGAATTCAAAGTAAAAGTTATATATTCATATACATGTCATTCAAATGAATATATCCAAAAAAAAAATATTTTTTAAATATTAGCTCAAAAATTATTAATATTATCTAAACTAAATTTTAGATGAAAACTGAAAAATTAGAAAATAGAAAACAGAGAACAGTTTTCAGTTACTAAACAAGTTTTCTAAACAAAAAATAGAGAATAGAAAACTAAGAACGAAAACTAAAAAAATTAGAAAACAGAAAACAGAGAACAGTTTTCTGTTGATAAACAGGCCCTGAGTCTTCTAATGACGCGACCTCCCATATCGTCACGGAAGCAAAACTGCTTCCAAAGTGAAATGTCAGATTAAGAAAGGCAAATTATTATATAGATCATAACAAAAAGTACATTTTTTAATCTACTAAAAATACATTATTTGTATATTGATAAATTGTACATTATACAAAATAATGTACTTTTAGTACTTAAATAATGTACTTTCTCTAAATACAATGTACATTTTTAAAAATATTAAAAGTACATTATTTGTGTACTCGATGTATATTATTTGATAGTATGGTCCATACAATTACATGGACCATGGTCTACGCAATAATGATTGAGTAATTTTGATACCATCATCATATCATTCAATTCAAAATCCAATCATCTATTAATTCATCAAATTAAATACACTCATTTTTTCAATTCTTACATGTCAATATAACTCAAATAAGCTTTGTCAATAGTGTTACTACATATTTATCTTATGATGTACAAAAACCATGGTTTCAGTTAAGGAATTTTTGCGATTTCATTAGTTATGACTTCACATAATTAATTCAAAAATTACTAATAAATATAAAATAATCATGAAAATTATTATAAGTTACATTATAGGGTGATAATAGAGGTCAAACGTAATCCTATAACTTTATATTAGAATGTTATAAAAAAAAAAAAAAAAAAAAAAAAAAAAGGATGGGGCAGCAGAGCGAAGGGGACAAGAGGCATATAATTGTGTGCAGGGCTCACAGTTCAAGGCACATCCCAAATTTGGTAATATCCACCCACCCAACCTCCTTCAGGCAGGGTTTTTACAGGCGTGATTAGAAAAAAGAATATGAAAGGAAAAAAGAAAAAAAAGAGTAAAAAAGATTTGGAAAAAAATAAATAAATTCAGATTAACGCACCCGACTGGGTGCTATAATTGCGCTTCACGCGACCACACCATGATTTTTTTTCTTGGTGAGTCCTACAAGTCTGATAAAAATCAATACTTTTTCGTAAAATCATTCACAGTGTCTCTCCTTCCTCTCTCTCCGCCACATATACTTAAACACCTTCTAAAAAATTCATTATTGCGGATACCCTAACTAATAAAGCTTCTTTTTACACCCAACACGATTTAAATATGTGCTTTCAATCTCAATTACTTCTAACTGTTTTTGTAAAAAATAGGTTGTCACAAATTTCAAATATATAACATTTTTAACCAAAATATAATACATTTCTATTGATTAATAAGTAATACGTTTTTTTTTTTTTTTTTGAAAGCAAACACGAATCAATATTATTGCAAATGCATCAAAAGAAAGTCAAGTGGGATAGCATCCCAATACATAGAACCATCTTGAGAAAATGCTTTCGTGGCCAAAGTATGAGCTAAAATATTTAAAACACGAGGTACCGAAACTAAAACGCAAGAAGTAAACGTATTCATAATAGTCTTGCAGTCGCGAATCACCACGCCCGCATATGATCTATCTAGTGGGAATAAGGCATATTGATGTAACCTTGGAGTACCGAACAATCCGTATAAATAGTGACCTCTGTAACATCGCGTGCTTTCAGCCATGACAGAACTTCCTTACAAGTCAGTGCCTCAGCCGTAAGTGCATTCTCGCTAAAAGGAAGCTTCCCATTGACCGCCGCAATGAAGCTGCCATCTTCCGCAACCAACGCCCCTCTGAATGTGGCTGCTCTTGAGTCCGGATTGCGGCCTGCATCTACATAGCAACACCAACCCGGAGCCAGCTGCACAGGCTGCTGCTGCCGTGAAGATCCCGAAGAATGAAGCCCAGCCGCACGCCATGCTGCAACCACCGCCTTGGCCAAGTTCCACATGTGGCATGGTGTATAGAGATAAGCCTCCCATACCACATTATTTCTTGCTCCCCATAACTGATAAAGGACTGCAATAACTTGAATAAGAACATCCTCAGTTAAAAGACATAGCATTCTGAAACCACTCAGCAAAGCAACCACCAGTCACACAAGAAATAGGGAGATGAGATTCATTCCGCACTTGAAATGCATGATATCCTCATGGAATATGGCACACATAGGGCATGATGGATCAACATCAACTCTCTTAACTAGGAGGTTGGTTATGGTGGGGAGAATACCACTAACTGCTCTCCATAAAAAGGTCTTCCATCGGGGAATTTTCAATTTCCATAGGGCAGCCCATTTTTCAAAACCTGTAGTATTTGATATTTCTCCAACAATACATCTATATCCACTCTTCACAAAATATGCACCATTCAGATCTTTATACCAATACCATGTATCCTCATAAGCAGGGCAAACATGTACCCGGAGAATACGGTTAACATCATGAGGATTAAAAATATCAGTAAGAATAGCTAAATCTCATGTCTGGGTATCCTGATCAATCAAACCTGACACTTTCGAACCTTGTAGTTGATGGGGCATAGGAGTTTGAATCCTGAAGTTTGAGTCAAAGAGCCAGGGATGCTCCCAAATCAACGTAGAATTACCATCACCAATCCTCCTCCTTATACCACCACAAATTAGCCTATGGGCAGCCATAATACTCCTCCAACAAAAGAAGATTTAGGGAAATACCTTGCCTTATACACCCGGGTAGCTAGGGACTTAGGTTTTGTGAGGAAACGCCATGCCTGTTTACCCAGCATTGCCAAGTTAAAGGCCTTTAGATCCTTGAAACCCAGACCTCCTGCCGTTTTGGGCTTACATAAACGATCCCAAGCCATCCAATGTATACCTCCCCCATTGGCACCACCCTTATCCCAATAGTATCTATTCATTATTCTCTGTAGAGCCAAGCAAATAGAATTAGTTAGCAAAAAAACACTCATAGAAAACGTGGGCATTGCCTGAGCCACCGTTTTCAAGAGAATCTCCTTGCCCGCATGTGACAACAACTTCTTATTCCATGACCCCATCTGTTGCTTGATTTTCTCCTCAATGTAGACAAACACTTGTTTCTTATTCCTTCCTACAAGAGAAGGAAGCCCCAAGTATTTCCCAAAGTCGCTTGCCTGAACAACCCCCAATGCCGCCACCACCTCCCTTTTGTCATCCTCATTGGTATTTTTACTAAAACATACACTGGACTTTTGGTAATTAATAGATTGTCCGGATAACCGCTCATAAGAGTCTAAGCACTGCTTTACCACACCTGCCTCTTGAATATTTGCTTTAAAGAACAACAAGTTATCATCTGCAAAAAAGAGATGGGAAACCGCAGGGACTCCCCTCGCTACCCTGCACCTATGATTAAGTCCCTGAGCATGTGCCCTCTGTAACAACAAAGATAGACCTTCAGCACAAACGATAAAAAGATATGGGGAGAGAGGATCCCCTGTATGAGCCCCCGCGTTGGCATGATCACACCACCTGTCGTTCCATTAGTAAGAACATTATATGAGATAGTGGTTACACACAACATGATCAACTCCACCCATCTATCAGCAAAGCCGAGTGCCCCCAGCATTTCCTTCAGGAAAGACCACTCCATCTTATCATTTGCTTTAGCCATGTCTAATTTTAGGGCCCCCCAACCTGCCTTACCACATTGTTTCCTATTAAAAAAGTGGCCAATTTCAGCAGCAACAAGTATATTATCAGTTATTAGTCTATCAGGAATAAAAGCACTTTGTGACTCTGAGATAATTTCATCAAGCAACGGCTTCATTCTGTTTGCTATCATTTTTGCCATAATCTTATAGACCACATTACTTAGCGCAATTGGCCTCAGATTAGCAGCATACTCAGGCACTTTTTTCTTCGGGATCAACACAATATTTGACACATTCAAACCATCAGGGAATGCACCTGAATTTAAGCAGTTAAGTACAAAAGATGTTACCTCCTCACCAACCACATTCCAAAAGTGCTTATAGAATCCCGAATTCATTCCATCCGGACCCGGGGCCTTGTCCGGGAACATAGCAAAGATAGCCCCTTAACCTCCTCAGACTCAAAAGGCCTAAGCGGAGTTTCATTCTGGCTCTCAATAACCCTTGGTGTGACCGTGTCAAAGAAATTATCATGCACGGGGGACATTACTTGTCTTAAAAATATTATCAAAACAATCAATAATCATAGCATTCTTTTGCACTCATTCCCCATTAGTCCCCTTCAATCTAGATATAGTATTTTTACGTTTACGGGAAGGAGCATACCTATGATAGAATCTGGTATTGGCATCTGCTCCCCGAAACCAATGCTGCTTCGCTCTCTGCCTCCAATAGACATCTTCTTGGACTTCTAGTTGAGACAACTGTACCTCAACGGCACGATATTCCTCCAGGGAGCTCGGATCCATACATCCCCGCATGCTTATAAGCTTTGCATGAAGTAGCTTAATCTGTTTGCCAAACATATTTAAGCGGTCACCTCCCTACATCTGCAAACGGTCACTACATTACTGCAAATTATTCAATAGTCCATGACCCATAATACATTTTCATTTAAGTATTTCTTTAAAAAAAAAAAAAAACATTGTAATATTTATTAACTCATAAAAAAATATATTATATTTTTGTTAAAAAATATTATCCATTTCATGTAAGACCATCATACAAGATTAACCAATATGTGTTTTTGTTCTCAAAATTAATTTTAAATGATCCAATCTTATTGTACTCTCGAATGCACCTAAAATAAATTATTTTCATTTTTATTTTACAACTATTAAATCACTTCAACATTTTTTTTTTTTGAAAATTATATGGGTGCTTCATTAGAAAAAGGCTGAAATAATGTCAGGTGGGTGGATATCCCAGTACATAGCAACAGGTTGCTGATAAGCCGTAGTAGCTAATGCATGAGCTAAATAATTATCTGATCTAGGAATAAAATTAAATGAACAATACTGAAATAAAGTGGCAATTTGCCTACAACCGTCAATAGCATAGCCCACATAGGAGCGAAACGCGGCAGTTGGTGTAGTAAGATAGCGTTGCAATGCCAAGCAATCTGTGTATAACTCGATATTCTGCTCCCTCCCTGTTAGCCTGTTGCAACATAAGTGAAAGTCCCTCCGCACAGATAATAAATAAGTATGGGGATAACGGATCTCCTTGTCTCAGGCCACGAGTAGGTATAATTGGTTCACTCCTAGAGCCATTCACCAGGATACTGTAGGAAACCGTAGTTACACATTTCATGACCAAATCCACCCATTTACTATGAAAACCTAGCGCCTTCAAAATCACTTCAACATTTAATATATATAAGTATTATTTTTTTGGCTCACAAGGAAAACCCAAACAACAAAGAAATAAATTAATCTAAGTTACACATAGCTAACCGACTCAAGCTACTAAAAATCAAACTTGGAACATTGTGATTACCGAACTAATAGTCCGACCAAGCAATGTTTATTAGGTGGACCATGCATTGAGTACATTATTATATATAATGTTCATAATTTAAATCTGTACAAAATAATATGAAAATAGTTTGATGGTTCATTATTTATATGCAAAGGTTTACTATTTATGTACATAAAGTTTATTACTCTGTATTTGAATATGTGCAAACTGATTAAAGATTGCTTATTTAGGCATGTAATAAACTCATTTCTGCCATACATGAGGTTCATTAATTGTGGAGCATAACTATACTTATTTGGCAGCCCCTACCCTATTTACTTAGAGATTTACTATTCAATAATTCTAAGTTCACTATTTGTATGCATAAGATTCACTATTTGTATATATAAAGTTTACTATTTGTGTGAATATGTTTTGATGCATGATCTTGAGTAAAATTTATCCCAACCAACTTAACTAAGATGCATGGTCTTGAGTAAAATTTATCCCAACCAACTTAACTAAGATTACCCTTATATATAAGTATTACTTTTACAATATTTAGTGGCTTAGTGCAATTTTTTTTTTTTTTTTGCTACATTTAATTCTTTTACTAAATCTCGAATAAAAATTTAACTTCACATTTTCAATTCAAAACGATACATTTTCTCAACTATCATCCACCCATAATTGGTGTTTTTTTTTTTCACGAACTAAGACTCTTTTGAACCGTTAAAAATTAATTTTAACTATTTCAATCAAAATATATCATTTTAAAATTAAAGTTTAAGTACTCTCTCGAATCTAATATAGGAGTCCACAATCTTGGAAAATGATATCATGACTACAACAATTAACGCCGAGCACTTGGTCAGATAATCACTTTTTCAAACTTAAAAGCAAGGAAAAATAACCACAAAATTCTATTCTATGCCTGTGCTGTGATCAATTACTTTAAACACTAGCATAACAATAAAGCCATTAACCAAAATATGCAAATACTTCAAAACTTAGATTTTAACATGTAGCATAAAGTTCAAGACATTTGTCTTGGAGATAAAATCTGAGCCCGCTCGAGAACAAGACAATGCAACACGTTGGACATGCTGGGATAGTGGGATTTCATACTTTGAATTGAGACAGTTTTCTGGAATACAACCAAACACTGAAAAAGAAAATGTTTTCTGAAAAATGACTCATTTTCCAGAAAACATTTCCCAGATCATTTTCCTGATTTCCAAACACACCCTAAATTTAGTCCAAAAACAGCAAACAGTTACTCATCCAAGAGACCATTCTCGAACTACAATCCTACTCAATGTCCTTGAAACCATGGAAGTCCCGGTTGAAGGCATTGCTTTGTTTCTGGAATAGGAACGATGGGTCCTAGAAAAAGGCGCCATAGATCAAGTATAATGGTTACAAGCATTGCAGCTCCCAAAGCATCAATGGCAACCCTTGGCAAGTCCCACAGCTCACCAGGTTTCTCATCGATTCTGTGCATTAAAATAAATCCCATTAAAAAAAATGGAAAATTGATTAGGAGAATGACTAAACCCCATCAATGAAAATGGCAAAGTGAAGAGAAACTGGAAAGCAGTTGCAAATAACACAAGTTCCTTTCAGCTGGCTATATTTCTCATACAACAGATAAGTAAAGCAAGATTGTTAAGTGATATTGGTTTTTAAATAGATATTATAGGTACATCTCTAGGTTCCATTTCTCCACAAATAAACTGGATAATTTTATGGTCTACAAATTTGCAGGAAAAAAAAAAAAAAAAAAAAAAACAAGAGGTAACTTTCATGCACTAATGGTACAGATTAGCATTGAATTGGAGGGATTGAAAGGTCTAAAGGGTGGCAAATAGCCACCACCCGCCAGTTAGGCATAAGCAAAATATGTGAATTGAAAAACCAAGGAAAGAAAGAATAGAGCTAACTAATGAGCTAGGTTACGATTAGGGATACACTAAGATTCCTACTTTCTAAATTTCAAACCCCCCTTTAAGTTGGAACATCCAAAGTTCCAAACTTGAATTAAGACAACGCACCTGATTCAAAACTACAAAAGAAGAATAGACGCGGCTAGAGGATAACAGTGCTAGATGGTTTCAAAAGACACAATGTTATACACAACTCTTGAGAATGATGATGAAAGTGCTAAGGAGTTGAACACAAACAGCCTCAAAATAACACGACAATACAAGCACTTTAGGACAAACACCAAAAAGCATTCATCAAGAGTGGTAGAGGTGAAATGGATCAAGAGTAGTAAAGGGATACATCTGACTCACAACAGTAGAGCCTATAACAATAAAGATAGCCAAAAGCAATGAAGAGAAGCCCATAGCACTTAAAAGAATAAAATAGAACACTTGTTGGTTGTTGATAGAAGCACTTCCCCTTACTTGAAAGTTGAAACTCTAGAAATAATAAACAGCCTTTGGAAATAAAATATTGTAGTGCCAAAATTGAACGTCACAGGAAATGAATATGGCATATCAAAAATAAGGAAACAAAATAAAATATGGTAGTGTCAAAATTGAACACCCTAGAAAGAAACTTGGCAATAGATACAAAAAGACCTTCAAAATTCACTAGAAAGACCTAAAAATGATTAAAAAGGGATCTGGAAAATTTTCACCAGTCATAGCCCATAGGAGGTGGCTTCAGCCTTCATGCACCAGCGCATGAAGGAGACTCGCCAACAAGACACAAAAGATGGCAACAAATGATGATGAAATTTTCCAAACAAGGTCACCGGCGGTGAGGTGATTAGACCACTGAAGATCTTGCCAAAAATTAACGGCACACTATCATTTCTGTGTAGAAGTGTGATGGCGCTTCACCAATGTTCCAGCGATGGGCTTTCTAGCTAAGGGTCACGACAACTTCCTGAACAATGTGGTGGTGTCATTCTTGAGACAACCACCAGAGATGCTCTAAACAAGAAAAGTCGCGAGACAAGCCGGAAAAGCTGATTTTCTGATGGGAAAACTTTTTTGAAAAAGATATCTAGGTTTGAAGCTCTAATACCATGTTGAAATTGAGAATTGAAAGGCTTGGCAGGGTGATGAACAGATAAGATATATGATTTTATTAATATTAATAGATTGCATGGTTTACTTACAAACTAAGGCTAGATATGCTTACATAGGAATGTAATTGGCCAGATTTCTACTTTCTATATATTACAAATTACAAATAAAAAATCAAGTGTAGCTACTTCTTACTTGCTTAGCATAGAACAATGCAGGAAAGTGCAGTTTTTGTTTTTGTTTTTTTTTTTTTAAATCTCTAATTTTAGTAATGAACACTCTTTTTGGAGATAAAATGAAAATGTATGCAAAAGTTGTTTTACAACTTACAATTTGGCTATAAAATTCATTCCTTTGCTTGAAAATTAGTGTATTTCAACTGTTTGAAGACAATAATTGAGGAAAAAAAAAAAAAAAACCAACAGTGACCTCATGGATTAGTTTTTTTTAGTTTTCTTCATACATAAGAAACTATATACTTTAGATCAAGACTATACTACAAATTGGCTGTAACTGTTTGAAGACAATAATTGTCCAATAATAATAATAACCTCAGATTATTTTTTAAACTTTCTTCATACACCAGAAACAGTATACTTTGGGTCAAGAATATACATTCATCTCACAATCTAGATTCATCCACAGCTCAATGCAAGAATCAATATCTTGGGTTCTCTAAGGAATGGAAATGAACTGTCCAAGAATTTTACATGTTTATTCTGTAAGACCAAGTTACTATCCATCAGCTGAAATACTTCAAACACCTCATGACAGATTTTAGTCTATACCATTGAATCATTGGTAACAATTTCCTAAGAAACTTTTATATTCGTTCTGTCAATCTAATATGCTATTTGTTTTCGGATAAAGTTGAGCTACTTTGTATTCATTCAATTTTTATTTTTTTTTTAATGTTTATAGTTCAAATAGCTAATGCAAAATTAGTGATATCATAATATCTAATGTCAAGAAGCTTTATTGGAGTTTTATTTATAAATTAGTGCAGATAATGTAAAATCACACAATAAGATCGTGGAAGCATGCAAAAAGTAAGAATAAATAGAGGAAAGTTGGCATCTCTGAGTTGGGTTCTTACCTCAAAAACATAGGAAAGCTTACAATGAAGTAAATTGCATAAAACAAGGAGCCAACTTTGTACATGGATGCTCTGTCCACAAAGTCATAATAGGGGAACTGCAAATTTTCAAAAAAAAAAAAAAAAGGAAAGAAAATTAGTAACTTGGCAGCATTGTCTCTAATGTATCAGATGTTTTAAGTAAAATATTCAAATGAAACAAATTCTGGTATAAACAATCACTTTAAGAAGATATTTTGGTAAGGGCTACACTGAATGAAGCAAAATTTTATACAAGATGTATTCACCACATACACTGGAAATGGCTATGGTCTCCAGATAAGCTATAAAATAAGCAAAAGCTAGGATCCAGCTTGCTTTAAAAATCAACTGAATGTTTTCTGGTAAGTAAGCAATAGACGCCTGTAGTCGACGAAGTGTTATGTTCGACGCAACATGGTAAAACAGGAAGCATACATGTGCCAGAAGGAATGTTGTATGGGGCACCTGCATATGACAGCGGTGTTCTTAGGAAAGAGAACAAGAAATCAAGCAATTTATAAGGGTGAAATTAATGTTTCAACATTGTACTTACATCATTCATTTTCCATGAAGGAAATGTGTAAGAAGCACCCAACACTGTGAAGAAATAATGAGTCCAAAAGTAATTTCCAACATAGCTAAAAATTAATATCCAGAGATTTGCCTGGGGTAACAGCAACTTAGTTGTTAGTAAAATAATAACCATAATAACAAAAACAACAACAATGCAAAGCAACTCTTAAATAAAAAGATTGAGAAAGCCAGAAGGAGAAGATCCACCATAATTTAAATAAATAAATAAACAACAATAATTTTCAGGATTCTATAAGATTACAGATAATGAAGTGCAAAAAGTTAGGACACTAAAAATTAAGATATACAACCCAGGTTTACAGATAAGTGATTGAAATTTTACTTTTCAAGAACACTTGCCTTTACCCAGTACCGATCCTTCCAATGAATATTCCTATCAGCCTGCAAAACACATGGAAAAGCATATTTGTATTCATTATCAATCTTGGGTTACAGGACTCATTATGCACAACCAAGACTCGAAAGGAACATTGTCCAGCAAATAGTGTTAATTCATTGGCTTTCTATTTTTGTAGCATCAATAAGCATAATTAGGAATGTCCTAATCAAACAATAACAGGAAGGACTCAGTAAATTACCTCTCCAACAAATATCACTGGAACTATGAAAGCAGGAAGTGCTGAAACAAGTGCCAAAAGCAGGTACTCCCATTCTGTAAATTTCTGCAAGAAGATAATGGGGCATTTAACTAGAAGTTATGAACAAGCAATCTTATGAATGAGAAAAAGAGTGTATTTTTAAAAACTGAAAGAAGCTCAAAATAGTAAAGGCCCAAAGTTCAGTTTATTAACCATAATTTATTAGCCATAGCCATAGTCATGCTTATCTTATTCAAGCAACAACAAACAGTGGATGCTGGAGCAAAATATTGACTAAAAATTGCATAAGATGTGCTTAAAAGTGAAGGTTAAACCTAAATAAAACACCGACAGAAGATAAATTTCCAAATCCTTCATTATGATTGTGGTACCTTCACCACACTGAAAGATGAAAAAGCTATATATATAATTTTTTTTTTTTTGTCTTTCAACTTTTCCAATGAGATTTGTACCATTTATTTGAACCGAAACTAATCAATGAATTATAGTCTGCATTGTAGAGAGTTGAATTCGACGAAGTAATGAACTCGCTATTAATACAATTCATAATATAATTGAAAAGAACTAAACCAGAAAACATTAAATAAATGAATAAAAAAATTGAAGAGAGATACCTCATAGAGCTTGTAGGGAACGACAATGCCGAGGCAGAGGGTGAGCCAAAAGGGAGTGTATAAAAGGAAGAAGACCTCTCCCCATCTCTTGCTAGGGTTTGGAGCCAACCACAGATTCGAACTCGAACTCGAACTCACTCCTTTACTGCCTGCAAGCAAGTATGGATGCCCCACACATTAGAATTCATCTAAAATCTCATACAAATCCGTAATACGATTGGGTTTTACGGAGATGTGGGAAGCAGTGAGTGACATACCCATTTCCGTTAGATTCGAGAGGAGCTTGAAATTCGGTACTCCAATATCTAGATTTGAGCGGAGCAGGACAACACCCACGGCTACGAGGAATCAATTTCATTGTTGTTTTCTTTTGCTATTATTATATTTTATTTTATTTTATTTAAGGACAGCTAATTTCAGATTAAACAAATACGCTGTAATTTTCTACTCCGTATTATTCATTTTCCCACAATTCACTCCCAACGGGGTTTTGGGAAAAGTTTTGACTGACTCCACAATTTACATTGGAATTGGGAGCGCTAAAGTTAGATTTTTTGAAAGTTAGTGGACCCCTCCATTCTCCCTTTCCCCTCCCTTTTTATCCTTTTCCCGTCCAAAAGCAATGCTCATTTCTCATGAAAATTGTAAAATAACCATTGATTTGGTGTATATATATATATATACATCGTCAACTTTTCGTACAATTTTTATCACTATATTGTCTAATTTTTTAACAATATAATGTGCATTATTATATAACTTTTCAAGATATCGAACAAATTAAATTTTAAACCTAAATTATAAATATTAAACCTTAAATAGTAAAAAAATAAAAGAGTTAATACCCAAAATCGTCCTCGACTATAGTGATTTTTCTCAATTTCGTCCTAAACGACTTTGGTGACCTAATATCGTCCCAGACTTTTGTGTTTCGCTCAATTTAGCCCTTCATTTGTTATTCCGTCAAATTGGTGTTAAATTTAGGGACAATTCAATAATGTCAATATTGATCTCTCTTTACTTTCAACTTGTGAAGTGCGAAATTCCTCTTTCTTGTACGAATTACACGCAGAATTACTCCCGGACCTGCATATCAAATTTTATATTCGCAGTTTTAGGAGTAATTCTATGACTAATTCGTAAAAAAAAAAAAGGATTTCGCAGTTCACATGTCTATGAGTAAAGAGATGTCAATATTAAAATTACTTAATTGTCTATTTATTTAACACCAAATGGATAGAATAACAAATGAGGGACTAAATTGAGCAAAAACACAAAAGTATGGGACGAATTTGAGCGAAACATAAAAGTCTGGGACGATATTAGGTCACCAAAGTCGTTTAAGACGAAATTGAGAAAAACCACTATAGTCGAGGACGATTTTAGGTATTAACTCAAAAATAAAATCTTAAACCAAATAAAATAAAATAAAACTCTGTTTTCAAAAAAAAAAAAAAAAAAAAAAAAAAAAAAAAAAAAAAAAACTCACTCAAAAACTCTAAAATTTAAACTCTAACAGGGCGTTTGGTTCACTGTAATTTCGTTGTAGTTGAATTGCAATTCAATGGATGTCTTAATTACATTGTTTGGTTGGAGGGAATTGCAATTCCCTCCTTTTGTTGAATTACAATTCATGGGGGTACCCCCATGAATTGCAATTCTTTCAATGAATTTGAGAAAGGAAAAACAAATGAAATGACACTACTACCCTTAGTTGTTATTACTATTATTATTACACAAGAGTATTTTAGTCTTTATACCACTTCTTTCCTTCTCAATTTCAAAATTATATTTCTCCCTACCAAACAACGTAATTTGAATTGCTACTTTCACACCTTATTCTTTTCCCACCGAATTACAAATCCTTTCCCCCCTAATTCCTTCCTTCCAACCAAATACCTCGTAAATGCATTACACTATCGCATTTTTGCAAAGTGGAAATTTTGATACTAAATGTGCACTTTTTAATATTTTACCGTGCACCTTTTAAACTTTACCGTGCACTTTATAACAAAATAATGTGTATTTCTAGACAATCTTGAGAAATACATAGTATAGTGTTAAAAGTTTGTGTTTTGTAAAGTTCAATTTTTAATACTGACTGTGCACTTTTTAACAACTTAATGTTTGCATTTCTGAAAAAATCTTAAGAAGTGCACAATATGAGGTTGTTGATAATTTCAAAAATGTCACTATTTTTTTATTTGATTTGATCGGTTCGATTTTTTCATATGTAAAGTTGATGTTAGTTTTTAGTTTCTCCTATGATGTATTCTCATTTGATCGAATTCATACACACACGTGTGTGTGTGTTTCTTTTTTATTTTGCCGGTTTCAGCCAATTTTATTGGTTTAGGACTTTACTAAAAACTGGTTGAAAAATATTAGTTACTAAAAACCAAAGGTTACCTAAAGTTTTAAACCAATTAAACCGGTTGAAATAGAAAAAATAATAAAAAAAATATGAAAAGACAAAAATGTCCATACTAGAAATAGGAAAAGTCATGAGAAAGATTAAAAGTGTCAAAAATAATAGTCTAGGATGTTATATGACAAAAAAGATAATCTGAGATTAAATTTAAAATTGTCAATTAACTCTTTAGATTAATGTCACATTTGACCATCCACAGAACACCATTTATTAAGAGTTATAAAATGATTCATGTTTATAATTGGATTAATTTAACAATTTCTATGTGAGCAAACCATTTCACGGATCTTTATATGTAAAACGGGTCAGGTCAATATAAAAATATAATATTTATACTAAAAAATGTAATACTAACTAGGAATAAGTTATTTGTTACTTGGAAAGCGTAATACTTTTAAAGAAAAATGTAATACTTTTAAATCAAGATATAATATTTAAGAGTTGAACATTTACTTATAAGAAAAAGAGAAAATTATAATACTAATGAAAAACCAAACATGTCTCACGATGAGAATCCGTGTCTTAGGCCGTCTCATAAGAGATTTTGAGAACCAAAATTGCCTTCCTTCCTATTTGAGAACCAAAATTGCAATTGAAACAGAAATACGTACAAACACAGCAACAGACAATTTAGATGCACTTTTTTGTTTCAGCAATTATAACTTTACATGAGATATAAATTATTGGAAAATCAAAACTGAGCCCCAAAAGACGAACAATATGGCACAGGAAAGAAAAATCCTAAAGCCTTCGAGTAATAATTACATTTCTATTGTTCACTACCTGATAGACATCTAAGAAATCAAAATGACTGGCCTTATGGCAAGTCCCAGAACACTGCCTCACCATTCCTAAATGTAAAAAACAAGAATATGGAGAACAGCTTTACAAAACTATAAATCTTCATGAACCGGCAAAGATGTTGCGATATACAGTGAGTGCTGTGTTGAAGCAACAAGACTGAAGAAACTCCCTTTTTTCACGCCCTTTGGGATACCAAAAATGGGGCTGGGGCACCGCTTTATACCACATAGAGAAGTGGATAACACAATCAACTTCTTTACAAGCAAGAATATAGAGAAGGGTCTTACAAACTTATATAGAAACGTTGTCTTCAACTGTAAGGATGTTGCCCTACAAGGTGGTGAGTGTTTAAGCGATAAGTTAGTGGCTTAAAGATGTCGGTCCAGAAAGCTTCTCAAATTCTTTTGGTACTTAGCGCTATGCCATCAGAGCCCATGCAAAATCTCCTGTTCACGCCCATGTGAGAGGTCAGTTGCATCATAGGTATCGAAGCTAAAGAACAAAAACCCCAAAAAGACTGGACGAGATTTCTTGCACCCGCCGAAACTTTACTCCTTATCCCCGCCTCTTTTGCAACCTCGGACGAAATTTCTTGGTACAGTTTTTCAAGTTGTTCGACAGAATGGCATCCCGAGGAGCACTGTGAACTGTGATCAAGGCCCTGATTATCCCAGTATTCTGTATTATAGAAACCATTTATTTGGTTCGAGGAAGCTGGATCACTTGTGTGATTAGAATCATTTGCTTCACAAGTATTTGAAAAAAACTTCATAGAGGGAGCAGCAGAAGTATGGTCAGATGCAAAACTAAAGCTTAAGGTGGAACTCGTGAAGTGGTCGGGTTCTTCTATTCCTAGGCCGGGTTTCCAATCCGACATTAGTTTCGAAATCTCGCCATCAATCATATCAGCTATCTTCGTAACATCTTGGTCTTCGATATCTAGCTCTGCAACCATTTCAGCTGCAACAGTTAACGCTGTATCATATTCAACATTGAACGGGAAATAGATATTTCTGACATGACCTGCAAAGAAGAAAACTGGGTTTGAACAAATTAAACGCAAATATAAAGTTTTTTAAAAAAAGCATCCGTTTTTAATCGCAAACCTCCTCCTTCTGCAATTCTGAGTCTTAAAAATATGCTCCCATCCTCTCTTCTCTTTCCTCTTATAGTTATATCTAAATTCAAAGAATGTTCATGTTCTTCAACATTGTTGTACTCGAAAAGTTCGATTCCACTTCTGAATTCATCTGGAGAGCAAGCCAACGCGTTTTCTTCAACAAAAACACAATCACTGCAGGAGGTACTGAACGATTTTCCCTCATAATCGGGTTCAAAATTATACTGCCTTAACAGAGGATCCATGTAATTTTGTCCTCTCCTGCATACTATGGGGCTTATATCTGACTCACAATCATCAAGTTGGAGGAAAGGATCATCCAGAAGCTCCCTCGCTGAGAGCCTAAAAGATACAGTTTCCAAACATTTTTCAACGAATCTGCGTACCTCGGGATCCTTCACTTTGTAAAATGCGTCTGGTTTTTTCCCCTGCACAAGAAACCGAGTTATTATGGAAGTAAAGGCTTAACAAAGAGTAAGGTTTAGGAAGAACAAAGATGATACTAATTGAAACATGTGCTCCACCTGAACTAAAAGCCTAAGCTGATAGTTGGATTGCACATTTATGTTTATATATATTATATGCTCAACAATACTTACAGAGATAACTTTCTTGTAGATCTGAGCAGGATGAGTGCACTCACTGTATGGGTATTCAAACGTGACCATTTCCAAAACGCACATCCCAAAAGAATAGATGTCAACCAGCTCATTGTAATCCTCTTCATACACTTCGGGAGCCATGAATTCAGGAGTTCCTGATCATTAGAACCAAAGAAACATTCGAACTAAGCATTTCCCAGTTATAAACTGCCACGATTACTGCTTAAAACCAACGAGGCTTACCAAAAAACTTTAGCATTAAGAGAACAGACTCACAATCTAGGAGAGAAAATCAATACATTTTTGAAATTTAATGGGAATTATATCATCAGTATGAAGAAACCAATACCAACGCAATGACAAGTTTGTGACTTTTGCAGGATGGCAGCAAGACCAAGATCTCCAATTTTGACTTGGCCTTTATTCCCATTTACAAAGATGTTATCACACTTAAGATCTCTGTGGATTATCGGGGGATCATGGCTATGGAGATAGAGGAGTCCATTCAAAATCTGTCTGCACCAGTCTTTCACTGCTCTAATACTAACTCTTCTGTGCTTGAGCCTATACCTACCAAACCCAACCCACAAATTAAGCAACAGAAAGAAATCAAACCAGAAAGCAATGAGAAAAAAACAAAAAGAGGTACTTACTGTTTGAGGCTTCCTGAAGTAAACATTTCAGTTACAAAATTTATGTTCATATTAGCAGTATCAACCCAATATGTGTATAATTTCATAATATTCTTGTGCTTCAATGTCTTTAGGAGGTGAACTTCACAATAGAGTCTCTCGAGGTCAGATGGATTTTGCAGGAAATTGCAGAGCTTGACTTGGTTCCAAGCAACTTCAATCCCTTCATACTCATCAAACGCTCTATAACTGCACAATTTGACCAATCAAAATATTTTTTTTTTTAAAAAAAAATCTTCCTTAGACCCATCACAATTTGTCCATTCAGAATCATAAATCATCCACCTTTCCCAGAAGGATGTAAATTTCCTTCTTTCTGGGAATCGGAACTACATCCCAATCTATCAACCCTCAATTTATAAAATCTCCAACAGAAAAAAATAAAATAAAAAAATCAAACTTTGGGAATTTTTTTAGAAGTTCATTTTTTTGGGGTGAAAATTTGAAATGGGTATTTCAGGAATCTATCAAAAGTCAAAACCCCATCAACACTCAAGGATTTTGCAAATGAAAACTGATGGATTTGCTAGATAAGAGGAAATGGGAGTTTGTATACTTACACTGTCTTTGAAGCTCCTTTTCCTAGAATTTCATTGTACTGAAATTACAACAACAAGATATAAATCAAGCTGAAAACTTTATGACAGCCCACCAGAGGACCAACGAAAGAAAAAGAAAAGAAAAACAAAATATGAATGCATACTCTGCCATATCTTCCGGTCGGATCAACTTCAACAAACTCAGAAAAATTTGGGTTTGTTTGTGAAACACAACTCATTATCGGAAAATTGATTCACTTATTCGTTCACCAAGGAGAATCTAGAAAGATGATCTGGGCATTACGGGGGCAAGAGTTTTGTGTAATTACAATTACTGTTTATCTACACCAGAAACGTTTACAGAACGCTAGAAATGATTTGAAGACTTGAGAGATTTAAGAAGACCGAACAGGGAGATAAAAGGGTTCATTTTCTTCTCTCGCTGACTCTCTCTCCTTCTTTTGTTCTTCAGAAAGAATCAAAAAAGTCTATTAGTCTATCCAAAGCCAGCTAGCAAAAATGGAAAAATCAAGACGGCAAAGTTCGATTCATAGAATTGACGAAGAACGGAAATTTTTAAGGAATTAATTAATATATTAGGAAATATTGCACTTTAATCCTTTTTTTTGCAATGAATTGCACTTTAATCCTTGAGATATTTTTTTTTTTTTTTGAATGCTACTAGCTCTATTACAATGTAGTATCTGTTCATTAACGCCTCCACTGAGGCTCGAACTCACAATCTTCCAAATGGAAGTCCAACCCGGGTACCATTGGACCACATAGTCTGGCTCAGTGGTTTGCGTGGGTCTTCCTGGTCTCTTAGCTTTACTAATTAAGTAATATAAGTATAATTTTCATTTTTTTTTAATGCTACTAACTCCATTATATTATAAATTTATAGTATTGTTCAAATATACTTTCTCAACCTAATCATCTCTAATTAACATAAGAGTTATATAGTACTATAATAAATCATAAATGTGGTTTATTTAGTACTTAATCTTATCAATGATATTATTTTGGATGAAAATTTTTAAAATATATTAATATAAAAATAACAAAATTATATTTAGAGTATGATTTCTTCCTTATTACTTAGAAATTTTTTATGTGTGTGTGCGCGTGCGTGTGTGTGTGTATGCGTGCGTGCGTGTGTGTGTGTGTGTGTGTGTGTGTGTGTGTGTGTGTGTGTGTGTGTGTGATTTCGATCAAATAAGAATTGTGCTGAGTTGTGCATAGAAAATGAATAGGAATTAATTCTCTGGAAAGATCTAATAAGTTTAAAGTAATGAGAGAAAAAATGTAGTGACATTTTTGTAAATAATTGAAATTTAAATGCAAGTATCAACACTATAGAGTGTATCCTGTGATATGTGAAAGTGCAATGCAAGAACTCGCATTTTAGTGTTTATGATTTAGTTTTTTTTTTTTGGTTTAGGGTTTAGTTTTTTTAATGTGATTTAAAAGTTCACTTTATAGTTTATTATATTTTGGTTTACCTTTAAAATGCACATGACAACAATATAAAGTGTACCCAATAATTAATATAAAATGCATCAAATGATATTATTATTTGTACCAAATATGAAAGTTCATTGCACTTAGAATTCACATTTTAGAATTTGTAATTTATTTTTTCTTTAAAAAATACTGTATTGATTTATGGGTTCACTTTTTTTTTTTACTAGTTATGAGTTTATTATTTATGATTTGTGTTTGTGTTTAATCTTTTGGTTTAGTTTTCATGATTTATCAACATATGCATTCTATCGTGATGCGCAGAAAATATATGCCCAATATTAAAATTAAATATTAAAATCTTAGTTATATTATTTTTTAAAAAATAATTGTGTGTGTGTTTGTGTGTATAATTGTATATAATTCATATTAATATTATTGAGGTAAGAATTATAGAAATGATAAATTACTAAATATAACTATGGTAACATTTTAATTAAAACCTAAATGAATTCAAACTTATCATTGAAGGATGTAAGAAAAAACATTGTGTATGCATGTATATGGTAATAATAATGTGGAAAGATAACAGAAGTTATAACGGTAGTGATATTTTTTTCCAAAAAATTATGTAGTACAACTTTTATAGCATAAGGTATAAACAAATTTAACATAAAAAATGGACATAAACCAAGGGTATAATCTAGATTGAAACTTATTATGTTTTTAGATTATATGTGTGAAAAAAAATTGCATTAGCGCTAATCATGTACGCTTTTGCATGTGTAACGTATGCTAATGCACTCAAACCTATAAAGATCAAGAGATTATCCATTTAATAGAAATTTAATGTCACTCCCCTGCTTTTGGGACATGACTTGACCTTATCGCTACAGTATTAAGTATTAACGGTTACAATATAAAGTCTTACCAAAATATAACTTACACATTTCCCCCTTTGACATTTTCTTTAATTTTAACCCTTAACTGAAATAAAAGAAAAAAAAAAGATAATATAAATGACATTAAATGCTTTTCTTTAGAATTTTTTGTTTTGTACATTTATATATTATTACCAATTATACATTCAATATTTATTCTTTTGCCAATTCTAGCCTTATTATGTAAAAGACAAACAGATACATACATGCATATGTAGGTTTTATTTTATTATTATTTTGTTTTGTATAGCTTAACTTAATTATAATTTTGAATCAATAAATAACGTGTACTGTTTGAATATAATTTCTCATTTAAAAATTAAACTTTTATTTTTTTGAGTACTACTGACTTTGTTACAATATAATATTTGTTCATATCTACTTTCTCAACCTATTGATGCACAAAGAGTCAATTTCTCATTTGAATGTGAACTTTTATTTATTTTTCTTTCATTTGTAACAAAATATTCTTATTTCATTTATTATTATATGGATATTAAAACTTTAACTAAAACATAACAAATTATCAAAGAAAAAAAAGTTATCAAAGGAAAACTATTTGCATTTGCTAAAAATAAAATTATAAAAAGCATATAAATGTTTATATATATTTTTTAAGTACTATTAACTCTATTACAAGGTAGTATCTGTTCTATACTTTCTCTAACTACTGCAGCTCAAAGAAACAATACCCCACCCCCACCACCGAGGTTCAATCTTATAGCCTTCCCTCAAAGAGAAGCACAAATGTGCCATCTGGCATAAGGTGCTTGGGTGTCTATATAAATATTTGTATATAAAATAAAAATATATTAAATTCATAAATAATTGTCCATTAATTTTTCATTAAACAAAAGTGTGTGTACACACACAAAGATACTATGAGTGAATATTTTCACGGTTTGTTGGTAGAAATCCAAATATGTATATCATGTGACAATTATATTCGAACTTTTAAAATTTAGTAAAAAAATCTAAACATTTATGTTTTGTAACAATTATACCAAATTATAGTATATAACTTTAAAAATAATGCAACTCGGTTATAGTATTTGAACATGATTTTATATATTAAAATTTAAAACTATTTTTTGAAGAGTTTAATTTTGTATTTTTAGCTATATGAAGTAAATATTTGGATTTTATATTCTTTTTTTTTTTTTTTTGGAAAAAGGAACTTAATTCATCCCAAAGCCCCCAACAAAGTATCACATATTTGCATTGTAAATCGCCTGTTAGAGTTGTTAGATATGCAAAAAACCAATCTTGGACATTACCTTGATCATTAACCAAAGCCGGCAGATTTATTGCATCCCAAATGGCACGGGCAAACAAGCAATCACGGAACAAGTGCGTAGCTGTCTCCTCCACCGCACCACACATATGGCACTGAACCGTACACGCTACTTGCTTAGTTAGCAAAGCATCCCGGGTCGGAAAGATCGCCATTGCTAACTGCCATGCAAAGACACGGACCTTCGGTGGAACCTGTAGATTCCAAATTGATTGCCAAGGTCGATCAGTTGGTAACTCACCCGCAAGCATCCTATAACAAGATTTAACAGTATATAGACCCTTAGAATCCCATTTCCATACCCATGCATCACTAGGACTGCGAGTACTTACCGGCAAATTGAGGATACATTCTGATTCCCTCTCATCAAACAAGTCCATAACACATTCGCGATCCCACCCAGTTCCTGCTCCATTCATCAACGAACTGACCGGTGCATTGCTTATTGACTCATGCAAAGGTGTTCTTACGTATGGATCCTCGGCCGTGGCTAGCCATGGGTAACCCCCTATGGTGGTTGTTCGCCCATTGCCTATACTCCGCCGAGCCCACTGCTTAATTGGATCCTTCGCCTCAACAATTCCACGCCAAACGTATGATAGATTGTGGCAACCACAACATCCCAAAACGACGTAGTGGGGTAGTACCTACACTTATAAACCTGCGCCACCAACGAATCTGGACGTACCAAAAGTCTCCAAGCCTGTTTCCCTAGTAGCGCTAGATTCATACCTCTCAACGTCCTGAACCCCAAACCTCCCTTTTTTTTCGGATTCATACATAGACTGCCATGACTTCCACCGCAACCCCGTTCCACCCACTGCCTTCCCCGTCCACCAGTATTGATTCAGAATAACCTCTATCTCCCTGCATAAGGTTATAGGCAAAGAAAAGACCATCATTGCATAACTCGGCAAAGCCTTTAAAACATTCTTTAATAAAACTTCATGCCCCGCCCTTGATAAGAACCTGGTGTTCCAACCCCTGACTCTGGCCAGAATACGGTCTTTCAGAAATCCCAGAATAGCATTCTTCTTCCTGCCCACCAGCGAAGGCAGCCCCAAGTATTTCCCCGAAGTGTCCCCCGGTGAAACCCCCAAGATGCTAACAACATCATTCCTGCTAGTAGTGTCAGTGTTGGCACTGAAACAGACCAGTGATTTATCATAATTCACCAGCTGGCCTGACGCACCCGCATACACATCCAAGACTTCTTTCATCCGGTTGCTCTCATCAATGTTCGCCCGCAAGAAGAGGAAACAGTCATCCGCGAACAAGAGGTGGGAGACTGGTGGTGCCCCTCTAGCCAATTGTACCCCATGCAACATGCCCCGGTTCATACGGTTATCAATTAGTGCATTCAACCCCTCAACGACCATTAGAAATAAGTAAGGTGAGAGCGGGTCACCCTGTCTTAATCCGCGCCCCGGCATAATCGGTCCTATCTGCCTTTGTTCATGTAAAATATGGTACCTCACACCACTGACTGTCTCCATCAGAATGTCCAACCATCTGGCGCTAAACCCCATCTTCAGCATCACTGATTGTAAAAAACGCCACTCGACCCTGTCATAGGCCTTGCTCATATCTATTTTGAGGGCAGCCACCCCATTCCTGCCTTGTGTCTTCCGTTTCAACCAGTGATGCGTCTCATACGCAAGCATAATGTTATTTGTTATGAGACGACCGGGATCAAACGCACTCTGCGCTTTAGAAATAATTCTATCCAGCAGGGGCTTCATCCTATTCGCACATACCTTCGCCACAATCTTATATAGGACGTTACACAAGGCAATAGGTCATAAATCCTTCATTGATTCATGTACTGCCTTCTTCGAAATTA